TAATTAACTTAAGTATGAGATATTACAAAGATGCCCTAAGTAGGGCGGCAACTCAACCTAAGTAATTACAACTCTTTAAAAAATAAAGACTAATGGGCCCAAGGCCCAACAACATCTTAATTTAAAAGGAAATAAACTAAACACAAATCGGCCCACTCAACAATAATAGAGCATTTAGATACTTCATAACACAGAAAAACAGAATCTCAATTAGTGAGATGAGGTGAGACTGCACCAGTGGATGAAGAACCAAATCACTTTGTTTTATTTATTCATGTATTTGGCCTATGACATCTGACATCTTAACCAACTTTAACCGAAGATTTCTATAATCTGAAGGAGTGCATCATGGAAATCTTGAAAATATATGAAACAATGGAACAATTTATGCAAATTTTGATGGTTCTTGCAGTTCCTGATTGAAAATAATTTCAATGACTGTTCAACAGGTCTATACAGATTTAGAGGGCAACAAGGCACATATTGTAAATACTGGATGGGCCATGTTGGCTCTCATTGATTCTGGGCAGGTATATATGGAATTTCCAGGAGAGATCCTGCTATTTTGTGGCCAGAAAGTTAGAATTTGGAATTTGTTTCATATGATGAAGCTGTTGGCATGTTTTATATGTGATGTTCAATTGTTTCCATGATAAACATTTTCATTCTCCTTCCAGCTCCTTGTATACAATGAAATATGTCCAATCGCAGGGATAATGCCTTCATACATGATTCATAACACTGTTCTTTGATAAAAGTAATCTGTTAATTATCATTAAAAAAAACAATGGAATGTGACCGGATGAAATCTGCCACTATAATGAAAAACAAGTATTTTACATCATTCTCATATCTTTTGTACACAAGACAGAGTAGCCATGTGGAAGCCCCTAGATTTTAAATTGTCAATAGTCAATATGTTTTCCATTGACAGCACCCAGGCAAAGCATTGTTTCCCATTTCTTAGAGGGATTGGATTGCTCAAAAATCCTTTGATTTGAGATTGATGCACTTGGTTTTGAATAAATTATACGTAGTTATCCACTATTTATTATGTTGATCTAATTGTTTAATGCTTAAAAAACCAATCAATGCAATTATCACTTCATGTGTGAGAATCAGTTACGTATGTTCTATTATTTTCTGATTGTTCTAACATTGTTGGGTGACCGCAAGCATTGTTTCCCATTTGTCATATTGAGGAAAGGAAGGTCAGACATGAACCCCCTACATTTCTTATTAGATTTATAAACTGCCTTCTTTTACAAAAATAAAAAAAAAAGAAAGAAAAATGAATATGGTAGAAGCAGGGTAGTAGAATATTTCTCAAGGTGACCCATGATGGGAGGCCAATGGTAGCAGGCATTTTTATTGTTGGTCACATGGAAAAAGTACCTACCATATTAGTGAGATACCTTCATATTATTAACATGGCAGATGTTTTGAGACACACATCATTATATCAGCTCATAGGAGCTAGCAGTAAAGTAATTTGTTTCTGTATGACTCTCACCAAACTCTATCCCTGTAATGTAATAAAATGGTACAAACTTTACTTACAACTCTAATATCTTAATTTGGTGACATTTTCATGTCAAATACTTGTATTGACAAACGGATGATGGATCATTGTTAAGGAGGTACTTAAGAAGAAAGATATAACATCTTGTTTCTGCGTGCGTGTGTATGTGCTTAGGTGTCCTTTTTCCTTCATTTATTCTGAAATCTTCTCTTGAGTAGGCTGAGAGGGACCAAACGCCATTGCAACGGGCAGCAAGATTGTTGATAAATTCCCAAATGGAGAATGGTGATTTTCCACAGGAGGTAATTCTCCAAATCACTCGTGAAATGTATTACTGGTCAAATTTCATCTCATTTGTATAGTATGATTGTTAAACTATCAAAAAACCTAACATTAATCGGAAAATAATTAATAAGTGTTCAAGAGATTTGACTTTCAAGTCTCTGTATTTCAGTTAAGAGTCCCCATTACCATTTATCTTATACTTTTTTCTTGTAGCAGGAAATTACGGGAGTGTTCAATAAGAACTGTATGATCACTTATGCTGCATACCGGAACATCTTTCCAATATGGGCCCTTGGAGAATACCGCTGTCGAGTGTTGCAGGATGTCTAAAGTATTCCTGAATATTATTTTCAACAGGTCATAACTGATTATGAGTAACAGTTTAACTGCTATGAAGTGACTCTTGCTGAGATTTTCTTGGTAAGAACAGTAATTGTTTGTCTTCATTTAATCATTAAAAAACACACAAAAAAAAAAACTGGTATATACATAACAAAGCTTATTTGCTTCCACTACATAAAGGCGATATCCTCTGTCAGAATATGAGTTCTTATTGTATTAATACTATATAAAAGGCAATGTACTTTGTCAGATTATGGGTTATTAGATATTTTCTTTTGGCTTCCGGGAACTCTTTTGGAACCTTGAACATGCATTAGATAACTCCTTGCTTCTGCAATAGATGGTTTCCAAAGGTTTCCATGTACATAACCAAATCATTTTTTTTTTAATTTTAGAGAAAAGGTAAAATAAAATGTAATAATAAGTACAATAGGTGAACAAACATTCCTAGACAGAGAGACTACACATTTAAGCATTTGACTCTTATCAGACTAATTAAAGAAATAGCTAGAAATGAAATGCATGTCCAGAATCAAAAGAAAAAAAAAAGAGAACTTGAATATCCTGGCATTCTTTGCACACGGAGATCAAAGAAATCATCCTGTGATTCCAGGTTTTCAAAAATTATCCCATTCCTTTCCATCCACACATTCCATAAAATTGTTATGGGAGTGGAGTGCCGATAATTTTGTCTATATGTATATTTTTAATATATTAAAACCGACGGTTAACTAAACTGACCGGTATTTATATTTATATGTATAAATATAAAAAACCGAAGAATCGAATTGGTCAAAAACCAAAACCGGCGGACTAGTTAATCGGTGATATTGATTTGACAAAATGAAAAAATTGATACCACTGATTCGGTTTACAAAAAATGGCTATGCATGATTCGGTTAACCGAACCGTGGACACCCCTATTCAACGTGCCCAAACCACATAGCATGGGAAGTCAAAAAGAAGAGGTAGAATCAAATATCTTGGTAATGGTTTTAGATTAAACAGTTTGTCCCACTCCCAAATTCAGGTCATTTATGTTAGTGTCTTGCTGGTAGCTTTGGAGTTGAAAGAAACCTTCCACTTTTCCATTTTCCCAGTTTTGTATATTCTTTCTACTCCCAACTGCTATACTATCTGCCTGTTCCTAAAGCTCGGGCACCATTGCTTCTTTACCTCTTGCCATAGCAAACAAGTATGAGAAGATGTCTCAGAGAGGTCTGTGATTGCACCATGCACTTCTTTATTGGAAATTTTTATTCTTTATTGGAAATTTCCTTGATAAAGATGGTACAGGATTTCTAAATTCGGTTCCATAATCCATACTAACATCTATACATGAAGTCACCTCCTTGGGGTCCCAACCTCCATCTCTTATGTCAAACTTTGTTTCAATTAACTGTCTCCGTAAACTACCTCAACAATCGTCTCTTAAAAATTGATCAATGAGATTTTGATTCTCATTAATCAAAAAATTCATATTCTTTCTTTATCACTTACATTAATACTTAAATTAGACAAAAATATTGTCTAATTTAATTAGACAAAAAATTCATATTCTTTCTTTATCATTAATTCAATATTGTCAATACTTAAATTAGACAAAAATATCCCATTTAATAATAAATATTTATATGAGAAATAAAAAAAAGGAAAATTTTCCAATAAATATCCGTACTTTAAATCGCGACAATTTAATACCCAAGCTTTATATTTTTTATCAGTTAGAAGATAAAAAGTCCTAAATACCCCTAACTATTTCGAATAATGCATGGATCCCCAATCGAAATTACAAAAATGACGCCAACTATAATTTCTCTGCAAGTGGGAGAGAAATTCCGACAGGTACTCCGCTGCTGCTGCTTCTCACACTGAGAAGATGCAAGAGTTGAGAGCTCATCGGAGAGAGGTTCCATGCTTCGAGGTGACATCCTGCCCGGGGATGGAACACCAAAGGATGCCTATAAGAGTGAATGATCAGCGATTTTTGGGGAAAAAACATTCGTGTTGATTGGCGATGGCATGCTCTGTTGTTGTTGGAACTGGTTGAGAATCGCTGATTTGTGAGATGGGGAAAAGACCTCTGATGCTGCCTGATCTGAATACCGGGRCGACGAGGAGATTTCAGCAGTAAAGTGATCCTCAAGGTTTGAAGGGRTCAGGGTCTTGGAACGAACAGATCTATTAACAGTGGATGAACTAAGATGTGGTTGAGAGAAGCATGACAAATCATTCAGGAGTTGTTGTTGCTGGGCTTGGCCAGACAGGCGGTGTAAGCTGTTGTTGCTGGAAAAGACCAAATCCGATAATTGTGGAAGGAAGGTATGAACACCGTCGTCGCACAGCAAGCTCCAAAGGTGGACTGATCTACCTGTAATGAAAGGCAAGATTGAATTTCCTCAGACAAGATTGAGCAAAGGAGCTAATGGAATTCATTTTTATTATCCCGGTCTTTGTGGGTTTTACTTGATTCGAAGCGCAACTGAACCAGGCGTTATAAACGGAGCTGCCATGCCAAAGGAGGCTCTTCACGCTAAACATGGACTGATCTGTCTTCTCCTCCTCCTTTCCTTCATGCTCCGTCTCGTTAAAGTTCGAGATAATCGCTTCTTCGGCTTGCTTATGTGGCAACATTTTTCCCTTATCTCCCAATGACGGAGATCAATTCCGTCTAGATCTGAATCATAGAAACGGACAATAAAAGACACAAAATATTAGAAAAGATCCTGATGGTGCGCAATCCGGTCGGTCCTACCTGTCGACGACCTTGCCTCTGAACGAGCTACAGGGAACCTGAAACGGAGAAGATGATGAAACTCCGGGGGGAACCCGGTGAGATTGCTCCGAAGCTCAAGTTAGAATTCTCTTAAAGGCAAGATAAAACCAGATGGCGCAAAGTTCACATATCTTGTTCTTGGGGGTAGGGAGCCTTTTATAACCACCTCGTGCACTCACTTCTAAGCTTCTGTCAGGTCGGGTAAGATTATCTCTAAGCTCCTGCCAGTTCGGGTGTCATCCCCTCTGCTGGACAGAACCGCCATTGCTCTCTTTGTCGGAGCCATCTCTGCGACTGGCGATGACGGTGGCAGGTGGCCGTTGAAGTGCGACTGTCAAGTGTCAGATCCCAAGTCAGTCAGGTGCGCCGCCCTTGGATACGGACCTCCTCGGTGTCAGGTATGGTACGTTTGTTCAGTTCGACGTCCTGGAGGCAAAGCGCTGGAGTGGTGAGCGAGGTGAAGTCTTGAGTTCAGATAGAGGAGTGTCTCAAACTGCCATGGAGCGGGCCAGTTCGGGTCATTGCCTTGTGTGAGGCTCGGGGCCTAAGGGAGAGTTTGGGCTCCTTGTAGGGAGTTCAAACTGCTGGTAGGGAGTTCGGACTACTGGTTCCTCCCTTCGGTGCTCGCGCCTTGGGTGCGCTGTTGTGCCGAGCTGTTGCCTTTGCCACGTGTTGAGTGATTACGAGGTCGGGCCAAATCTTCCTTCATCAATTGCCTCCAATCCTCGTGCTAAGGGTCTTGCCCTGGCGCGGGGAGTTCGCAAGGTGGCGGGTGGATTTGTCCCGCACTTTGAATTTCGGTTGACTGATAGCGCGAGGGGCGTTGTCAAGGTTCTTTGGGTTTCTCGAGTGCCCAAAAGACGGGAAATGCGTCGACCTGCCTACTAATGCTAACAGACGTGACAACGCACGCCTTATTTCAAAAATTCAAAAAGCGCGCCGTTGGGAGACGTGACAGCGCGCGCTTTATTTCAAAAAGTGCGTCGCTGGGGGATGTGACAGCAGGCGTCTTTTCAAATTTGAAAACGTGCCGCTGCCGCATTTAATGTGAGGAGACGTGCGCTTTCAG